CGATATACCCAAAATAACGTGGCTAACTTTTGCTTTCCAGGGGTATAGATCAGATAAACTTAAGAAAACGTCGTGTAGGAATACATAATCAAATGTCTTGTTGTAAATTGTCATGAATCTTTCGTCCATTCAGATATGATTGTTTCAAAAAAACTATTTAAAGTAAAGGACGAGTGACATTAAGACTATTTTTCGACCCAAAATATTTTCAATAAAATAACTATATAAAGATGACAAGGTCGATATTGACTATAAATTTTGTACGATCAATTTGGTTGAAATCACTTCCTAGTTTTCGACTTCTATATCTTCTACAGGAATTTGAAAAAATAAATTCAAATTTTACTTTCTTTAAGTTATTAGGTATATCAAGTTGATCGTACTGATCACGAACATTGGCATCGTAACTCTCAGAAATGCAATGTTGAATTTAATTTCGAGTTTGATTTGTATCTGGCTTCTAGGGCCCATGCCTAGTTTTTAATCATCGCCTCGCAACTGTGAAATACGGGCACAATTAGAATAAGATAACCTTGAGTGCCCCTTTCCAATGCTCCTAGTTCACTAAACAGTTTTGAACTCAAGTGATACTATAGCAGTTCGATGTAATTTTTCAAGCTCTATTCTGATTTGTCATACAGCTGATTGAAAAATATTGGTGTTACGTCGAGAAATCTTGTATGAGAGTAAAAATATTCTATTTTTCTCGTTATTGGTCCACTTTTCGACTTCTAATCAGCATAATTCAATCCGTTGTTTTTTTTCATTTGTGCTATAAACACGTACAAATGATATGACCACAATATATCAAAAGTTTCAATTACAAGGAATGCTTCCTTGTTGAGGTGTTAGCCACTCAAGAAATGCATATGTTTCAGAAAATAAGTGGAAAATTCAGTTTCATTAAACAGTTCACGACTCAAGAACGATAATTTCATTTTGACCGAAACTTTTGGCATATGATAAGGTCAATACGGTCTCTTCATTGGTGAAACTTGAGAGTGCCTGTTTGCGCATTCAATTGTCCTTCATATATGATGGTGGGGATTAAAGAATGCTGTGAAAAAGTCATGACTTTAAAAGAAAGATCTATAAACTTCTATTCTCGTGGAATTCTTCTGATTATAATATGCACTAATTAAGATAGTAAGTTTGATCACAAATCCATTTTATCACTTATCAGGATTCCCTCACAACAATGCTTTCGTTGTGCAGATATTAAGTGAACATCCTACTTTGCACTGAAAATTACGCTTACTCTCCTCTTGCAATTATATGCAGAAAAATAGTTTTTATACTGAATATCAAATTACATCATTTGAAAGTGTTTGCAGCACAAATGAGAAAAAAAAGAATTGCATTATACTGATTAGAAGTCGAAAAAGTGAAGCAATAACGAGAAAAATATGGCAGTTTTGCTCCTATATCAGATTTTTCGACGTGACACCAGTGTTTTTCAATCAGTTATATGACAAATTGGAATATAACTTCAAAAAGTACATTAGAAAGGGTGTATCCACGCTTATCTTACCCTAATCCTGCTTGTATTTCGCAATTACAAAGTGTCAAGTGTTCTCAATGATCTTTATTTATCTGAATTCTGATAGAGCTTGAAGAATTACACTCAGAATATACTCTTCCAGACGCTTTAGAAATTAGTCTACACAAGAGAATGGTCAAAAATCTGACTTGAACCTTAAAATTTCCATATATGTCAAACTCGAAATTCAATTCAGCATCATATTTCTGAGAGTTACCGTGCAAATATTCGTGATCAGCACAGACAACTTGATATTCCTACCAATTTAATAAAAGTCAATTTTGAATTTTTTTTTCAAATCCCGCAGCACAGTAGAAGAGTCGAAAAGTGGAAAGTAATTTCAGCGAAATTGACTGTGCAAGATTTATAGTCCATATCGACCTTGCCATCTTGATATAATGATTTCTTGAACATATTTTGGACCGAAAAACGGCCTTAACTTCACTTGTTCTTTCTTTTTCTCAATCTCACGTTCTATAGATGTTTCGACACATTTTACTGCCAGTGTAGTTCAAGAATCTTAAGTT